CTTACACTCACACCTTTGCACAATAAGTTTGTAGAAATGATTTCTTTCACACTTAATGTATTTAGATATTGAAACAAAAGAAGTGGGCTGACCACAAAGTTTTGGTTTTTACTCTTAGTCACCACTTACTTGTACATTCCAGAGCCAAAGCTCAGAACAATCATCTGGGCCACAGGCAACAAGGTAGTTGTCATCTGGACTCCAAGCAATATAAGAGACACCATACGCATGACCTTCTAACGTCTTGAGTAGTTTTAGCTGATGAGTATCCTGAAACAAGAGAGATTCTGTTGAGACAACGCAAATGAACTCCTACTAGATTTCACATCTACAGTGTGTCCAAATACAGCAAGTTTGCTTTAAGCAACTTGGCACCTACATTTTACAAGACATATGAATAGGTTCTTACTGGAAAAGCAGTTGCTACTTTACGGAGTAGGACTATAAAATGAAAGCTTCTAAGTTTCAATGTGCAAAACAGGAACACTTGTAGGTATTTTTGTTCTAATGTTTTGTGATTCTGAATGTGGAACTCACAAAACACCATTGCATAGAGTTGTACATTATACTACACTTGCTTTAGTAAAGATTTCTGTAGCATCAAGTCTCTCTACATCTACTGGAATACAAAAGTTCTATTATCTATATTTTACAGAATTAAGTTACTTTCTTGAAAGTAAAAACACACTGGAAGCCTTTTTATGATTAAACAGAGAACCAAAACCTTCATGTACGCTGAGAAGGGAAAACCTCCAAATGCCAGTGTTTTTATAAACTTGAGCGTATCTTGCATGTGCTGCTCAAGAAAGAAGTTTTACAGAAAGATATTTTTAAAAGCTTCCTTGAGAGGTGTTCTTATTTCAGAAGCATTGCCTACAGCAAGCTGTTGCATCTTTTCTGCCAGATCTAGCGAATGAAGCACACTTCGCTCACGCAGAGTATCTTGTATCACCTTTATGCTACAACTGTTCTACTGTTGCCTTGTCAGATGAACTTGACTTTCAAGCAGCTTATCAAAATAAATAGTACAGCTAGATACTGTGAAGCCACCATAGACTGGATTCCTAAATACAGAAACATGCTTCAATACAGAATTAGCACTGACTCTTGACAACAACATATGCAGAAGGTAGAACCGAGTTTCTTAAACTGTTGACAATAATTTTTGTGAAGCCTCTTGGAAAAGGGCAAGTGGATTTTCCTTCCTGCGTGCCCTCCCTCCTTTTTTTTCCTGCATAGGGGATGTTTATACTTCCTACTTCTCTTCAAAAAGAGTGACTCATTTGAAAATCTAGCTTGATTTCTCAAATTGTCCCTTCTCTTTCTTTCGCTTTAGTGTTAATCAGCAGAGCACCTCTTGATTCTGAAGAGAAAGAATATGGTCAACAGAGGAATGGAGTGACACAAAGGACTGTTTCCTGGGATCAGCTGCGAAGGATTTGGTGACTCTCAGCCAGCCTACAGCTTTAATGGTTCTGCTGGCTAGAAAATCTAAATTCATCAAAAAAAAAAAAAAAGCAGGCTAAGAATGATCTTTGAAGCACAGAGAAAGAGGAGCAAACAAATGGATCTCCTCAAGGCCCCTTTTCTATTCTAATTATTATTCCTGTTCTGCATTAGACAATGCTGTGTCTGTAGCTAAATGATCTGCTAACTGATCTGCAAGGAAACTGAGTCATGTCTCACATCTCCCATTCTGGAGCTTGCCTGCTACTGATGTATTTCTTTTTAGACCAAAGTAGCCTGTCACTTCTACATCACATTGGAGACTCATGAGGAACAAGATACATAGGATATTTCTCTTCTAACGATAAGACTTTGTGGCCATTACTATCTCTCACACTGCTCTCGTACTTTTCTCCAAATACAGCAAAACTGCTATACCATGTTTTGCTCTAAAACAGCAGTCAATGGTATTTCAGGAAAACGTTCCCAAATTTAGTCAATCTGCTTTCCACCCACCACCAAAAGAAATCTCAGCACTTCTAGCCCTCATATACAGCTTCCCAGATTCTCATTAGATAGAAGAAACAATTATTCAGGTATCAACTTAAGTCTGCAGTAGTTGAGCTCCTTGGCTGAAAAGCCAAAAACCTGTCAACAGTTTTTAAAGCGTGCAGAAAAAGAAGGTTTCCGTAAGGAACAAGTTAAAGGAGAGAGCTCTATCAAACAAGATGCATGCCAGACAAGGTGATGCGCCTACTGTGCATATTCTTTGTGCTCTAGAGATTCTGCCACACTTAGTAACAGTCAAATAATCCATTCCATTCACAAACCTAGTTCACTCGAGACACTATTTAATGCTGTCAAGTCTGTATAAGAACTCTGAAATCAGCAAATGAAAATAGAAGCATGGATTAAGACAGCTTAGGCATGTAGCTGGCTCTTACAAAAGTAGTAAGAAATTCATGGTATGAAACAAAGAAAACACATGGAAGCAGTGCCACTACACTTCAAGAGGGATGATGAAGAAAAGAAAGAGAGAAACGAAGGATTCTCACACACATGAAGTGTGTGTGGAAAAAGAAATACTGTTCATTTAAAATGGTGTTCTCCCATCACTCACCCAGAGTTGGGATAGATGTTTATCTGTAGTTTTTATTTTATATATATATATATAAAAATGATTAGAATAATTCTAAATACCTAAGCCTTGAAAACCTGATTAAACTTGTGGTTCGAAAGACATTGTCAACTGCTATGGGAAATGTGAGAAGCATGCTCTGGCAAATATGAAAATGAACCATTTGACTTACGTGGCATAATGTTATTTAGGCATCCACCTCCCTGAAAGGGTTTCAAATTATTTTTTTTAAAGTATTCAAAACACAGAAGATAAAACTCTGCAAAGCTGTTTTCCTACTAACTATTAGAGATTTTGTTCCTTTAGTAACCCTTGGCCAAAAGGGTTAGTCTAAAACACTCACAAAACATTTATTTGGCTTGATTAACCAGATATTACCTAACAGTTCACTATAAAACATGCTAATCAAGGTACTGGTTACTAAAACCCATCAATATAAAAGGAAGATGTGCCTTTACAATCAAGTGACAAGTCAACAGCAAAAACATTTGATCCTTAAATTACTTAGAATTACTCTGCCTGTTAAAAAAAAAACAAACACACCACAAAAAATACAGATCATTTCCTAACTAAACTACAGAAGTCAGCTTATGCTGCTATGCATCTCTCGGGCCAGAACACACCGATTCCAATAACAAACCAACCACAACAGCTCTATGCCTGAAAAATCCACAGCACTTGCTGTTAGTTCAGAGGCTGTATAATAACTATACAGATGGATCAGAGTTTTAAGTTCTCCCATCTTCTTAATAGCAAGAAGGACCCAAATTATATGGCTTCCTAACCTGTAGTAGAAGAACAGGATTAAGTTCAGCTCTCAAATCCTACTGAAAGACAGTATGGAACCGTAAAAACCTTTCATATTCCACTTAGCATACCAGTTTGGAGTTGTGTGGTTAAAGAACTGTATGAATCTTATTTCCAAGAGTGTTTTACAAGTGTTAACTTCAAATATTGTGTGCATATGTTCAAGTTTATTCACAGTTTTCAATTGTTATGAAATACATGGACATACTTTCATATCACTTCTGAGTCAATTAAAACAGTCTTAGATTCACTGCTCAAACTTTTTATTTACATAAGAATAGATATGGGTAGGAAAGACAAATCCTGTAGCTATAGGATATTTCATACAAAGGAAACAGTGCTACATATTAGCATCAAAACCTAAAACCATAGCCAGTAAGAAAATGGATGAGTATACTTCCATGTGTCAGTAGGTTCTGATAAGCGTTTAGATCTTCATCTCAAGCCAAGGCAAATCTTACAACAGCAACTAGCATGAAGTGGTATACTGATACAACTTCAGTTTAGCGCATACCATTTTTATCACTCAGAAATAAAGTAACAAATGGTGAAACGAAGAGAGTATTTAAATACATGTGTACTAGCAGTAACAAGATAACAGGAAGGGGTTAGTCTAATACATAGATCAGAAGTACTCTTAGTAAGAAAGGTTCCTCACTGCCATGCTCCTTCCACTCTCATCCAATGCTTCTCAAGGCCTTCAGGCTGAGAAGCTCCCCTGTAGGGCACCAGCAGGCTCCACCCCGCAGTACTGGTTAGGGGCACGCAAAGTTCCTGCCCCAAAGCAGCCAACAGTTCAAGCCTTACGCTCAGGCATCAGCTTTTCAGGTGTCCTCCTTCACTAACTTACACCGACTGTGATCTTCAGTCTTTTACATCCCAGAGAAATACCCTAGTTGGCAGGCTACAGTGCATGTTAGCCTGTCCTACAAAAATCAAACCATTCTAGCAAAAGAAAAGTGGAGGGGGAAGGGAAAGACAAATCATACACATTCGAACACATTGCACACTTACTGGATCAACTTGCCATATAATAACAGTTGTGTCCTTAGATCCTGTTGCTAGTTTAGTGCCATCATTGGAGAATTTACAGAACCACACTTCATTACAGTGCTCCGTTAGTATCTGCTGTGTATAGCATGGGAACTGTTTCCTGGGAAAAGAAAGGCATGTATTTGCAGATTAATAGGAAAGCAGTAAGAGATTTTTCTTTTTAAAATCAAGCCAGTAAAAACTTATTTAAACGCAAGACCAGACAACTTAGAAAATTCCTCTATTAACAGCTGCTTCAAGTAAGTACAGAATGAAGTGTCTTATCTGGTAAAAAGCTCACACCACCAAGTGACCATAACTAATCGTAAAAACATAAAACTATTCTTATTCCACTGACATAATTTGTCATGCTTTCATATAGCTTGGAATGAAATTGACCTCATTTGGGGTGTAACAGCTTATTACTATGCACTTGTATGATGTGTAAAAAATACTGGAGTCCAAACCTCTTCGAACCCCACACGCAATGTTTTATTTACATGTGAGGTTTTTGCAAGTATCTAACTCACTTAGCTATATCTTGCCACCTCTTTAGAAGTGATTCCTACATAAAAGTTGAGTAAAAGAATAGTCGTATTTCTTTTTCTTGATCTTATAGTAAGTTAGATGTTTCTTGGCCTTCGTTTTGTGTCATTTTTCACTTTCTTTGCAGAGCACCACATACAATATCTAAGCATAACTAACATGATACCATTATGAACTTTCAACTTGAACTGTTTTCCCTCACAAAAATCTACATTATTTTGTAAAATATTGTCTTTATCAAAATATTACAGGATAAACTGCTGAAGAAGAGTCAAACATTCTTCTAGACCTAATATTTAATATTCTAGTTACACACTGAGGAAAAGCTAACAGTCAAAATATTAAGTTAGTTAAGAATTGGAGACAAGTTTTATTTTATTTACAGCTTGCCTACTGTATAAGAATTTGAAAGCCAAGATAAAATAATTGTAGGCTTTTACAGCAGATGAATGCTTTTATAGGTAATACCGCAGTAACTACAAGTTCATTATTCAGATGTACTAACAGGTAGTCTCTAACCACAGACATTTTTTCTTGAACTGCAGGGATCCTGAAATGGTTTAGTTTTATGTTGAGTTTTTATGGTGCCCAGTGCAATAGGGCAGCAAAACTCCTTAGCAGAAGCTAGAAAAAGTTCTGCTTAATACAGTGTCTATACTCTCTCAGGCTATTTTCTTTTACTAGAAGATACTTCCTAGTCCATGCTCAAAAGACCACCAAGTAGCACTAAACAACCATACTGACCCTCATTTCCTGTCTTATGGTAGAGGAGGACAAACAAAACGTACATATACATATCTGTAGTTGGTTTCCTTGAGTACATCTACTTACTCGTTTACAGAGAAACACAAGTCTGTTCTGCTCCTGCTTTAAGCTGACCAGGAGCTGTCTAGTTGCCACTGGAACAACACTGAGCCCAAGGTAAAAAGCCCCACCCATGAAAGAAGACTTTGTTTTCCTTGAAGTCTCGAGGGAAGTAGGCAAGCCCTTAAACAGATATGTGCATCTACAGGAAGCGTTTCATTATTATTTAGCCATATTTTAACAAGTTTATGTTTTTCCTCAGAGTAGCAAATTGCTCCAGAAGGTGAAAGAGTCTTTATCCATAACTCATACAAAGTGCAAGGCGGGCACACTGTGTCCTAGGAAAGCCTTTTCAGCATATTTCGTTTTAAAAAAATGCTCTATAGAACAATAGCTCTTGCATTTTAAAGCTTAAGAAAAGCAGCCAAGGTTTCATAGACACGAAAAGCAAGCACTATAATGCTGGAGTACATAACTTCTACAGTAAGGTGGTCCATAGGCTCCTAAAAAGGGTAACAGGCACAGTTGATACAGCTGCTGCAGATACATCCCAATATTGAATTATACTGTTCACAACCCAGTCAGCTCAGAGCGCTCCCACAAAAAGTTCTTTTCACTTAACTAATGAAACATACAATCCAGCAAGCTTGACTCCACAGATAGCAAAGCATACATTAAATAACCCTTCTGCAGAAGAAAACAGCAGCAATCTCAAAACAAGAAACCAAAATCAGTTGTCTTAACAGTTTCTGGTTTTTGTAACTAGCTATTATTGTAGCTCAAAGGTTTTTCTTGGTTGTTTTTGTTTGTTTTTTTTTTTTAAGTGTTTCATTACAAATTGTTCTGTTCAGCAAAATACACTTGAATCACGTTGTTCACATACTGAAATAAAGTATCTTAGAAAGTTATGTGTTGTTGTATTTGCCGAAGGTCAAAATTCTAAATAAAACACTAATCAGCTACTTTTTTTACTCCCTGTACTTACAGTGGAAGATTTATTTCTCAACTTTCACAATGGTTCTTTTTCAGAAATGCTACATTAAGCTAGTACCTAGAAAGCAGCAGCATTCACCTCTCGTTTGGGCTTCACTGTTTGTTTGTAAACCCAGACTAAAGTTTATTTATGTGAAAGCAAGACAAAAGAATTCTGGGAGGAAAAAAATAAGCCAACAAATGGAACACCCAACTGGTCTGAAGGCTCTCAAAACCAAGAGCATCAATTCTCTATTATCAAAATCTCAGACACAGTAAGATGAAATCCCTCATCTTCACTCCCAGCAGTGTCTCCCTCTTATCTCCCACTCTTATCAAGTAATTAAGTTTTAGTTAAACATTTTACCTATTAGTGCAATTCAAGCATGCTTGATCAAAATATTGCCAGAAGTCCAAAACAGATTAGTTCCAACTAAAAAAGGGAAAGTTGTCAGTGTTCTATCATTTAAGTAGTACAAAACTTAAATTGTCTAAGCTTTTAGACTACTGTTACTTCTGTCAGTTTAATCAAAATTTGGCTTCCACTGTCTTTAACTCACCTCATTATGCCCAAGCATGGCAGCACGTACAGCGCACCACAAACTGATCTCAGACCCCTGCAACAGGTAGGTACAATAGGTTGAGTTGAGGACAGAATGGAAGCCTTCATTTTGAAGTGGTCTGTTTTGTCTTTTAATTAAAAGTAGTCATGGCTGTCTATGTATGTATACATACCAAATATGCAAGCCTAGGAAGTACCTCATTAGGTGAAAAAAGCCCAAACTAACTATGGCCAAACTTTATGTCCGCAAATAGATTTGGATGAGCGAAATTCAAGTCCAGATTTCTTGTATATAGTATCTTTTATATCCGGCTCTACCTAGTCCAACTTCAGTAAACCATGCTCTTTACAGTTGGCTTGAATGCTCTCTGGGGTTTGATTAATCACATCAAACCCCCTACAGAACACCCAATGTTATTTATGGACTTGTGTAAAGACTAAAATTAAATCTCTTTCCATTAGTCTGATTTTAAGACTCACTGCTGAAAGTAGCGAAGCCACAATTCCAGTATCTGATCATTTCCAATAGCTCTTAAAATGGGGAAAAAGTCAAATGTCCACACATACACACACAGAACTGCTAAAACAATGTGATGTAGCAAAACTGCAAGCTAGACAACAGTCTAAAAGTTACCTGAATACATTAAGTGCCAAAGATACTAATTTTAAAACCTTAAGATGGTTACAGTGAAGTACTATGGACTCCCGCATCTTTAAAAAAAAGATTCCAAGTAACCCAAGAACAAAGTCAAAGCAGCTGAGTTCAGAAAGTTTCTATAAGCAAGTTTATCAGTACTTAATTAACTTCCTCAAATGAGCTAACCTTAACATGAAAAGAATTCCCCTGTAAGCCCAAGTGTTACTCTTATATGTTTGTTCACATAACAGGCTATCACATACAGCCCTTATTTTCTAGGGGTCCTAGCCCTCAATCCCTTATTACACCACGCACAGCAGTTTTCCATAAAAGCTACACTGACTTTTTTTTTTTCCTTAGAGTTCTGCCAGATGAGGAAAACCCACTCAAGTCAGTCATTTGTTAAAAACAAACATCTTCTTGCTAGACTACGGTATTTTCAAGATTCAGAAGCAGCATATAAAGAGCTATCGATATAGTCTGAAGAGCTAATACATAGGTATAAGATGTTCAATTCTTACTACCCTACAAATCTGAGAAAATAGTTCTTTATATCACTCATATTATATATTACGTAAAACAGAAGTGTCTTTTGCACATTTTTACTGTTTTAACCTTTGTGTCTAAAAGCACCTCACTGTCCACTATTAGAAGTTGAAGCTGAAAGTTCACTTCATGAAGTATGCTTCAGTAGGCTTTCTGCATTCCAGTAACCTTGAAGACAGAGTCTGGATAAGTAACATACTAGTGATTATCCAGTGAAAAAACACAGCAATCACGTGTTGACTAATAAACAGACTGGCTGTCCAAAATGACAAGAAACAAGTGGCTAAGGACTAGCATAGTAATATATTCTATTCATACCCATGTGATTAAAATTTTAAAGCTTCAGTCTGACCCCATATCCAGCTATCAAAGGCTCTTATACACACCTTCTCTACTCCCCCCCACCACTCATGTGATGAGAACTGTCTTTTCCCAGTCAACACCTGTTAACTTAACTCAGAGTAGTTTTCATGTTCCTTCTAATAGTAAGTACAATTACATTACTTTTAAAGACAAAAAGGTATCATTGCCCACCTTAAAAGTTGCAAGGGTTTCTTACCTACTACAAACATGATCTATTAGCAGCGAGACAGAATCTAGATTACTATCTAGTTTCGTATTATGATATAGGCACCGGTCCCGTTGTAGTTCCACAGCCTGACGTAGCAGGTTCTGTAAACGCCTTGGAGGAAGCATCACTGATGGGGGTAGGTATGCTTTTAAAGAGTTATTAAGAAAAAACAAAACAAAAATATATCAAAACCAAGTTACAAGTAAGAGCATATTTTGATTTGAGTGTTTTTGGAAGAGACATTAGTAAGGAAAGCTTAAAAGCTACAGGAAAAGAGTGCATGCAGCTTGTCAAATTTTCAGCTATACATCTGGAATTAGAAGCATGAACTTTCTGGAAAGCAGAGCTGTATGCAAGGTATTTGTAGTTATATGTTGGCCTGGCCAACAAGCACCATTTACACAAGCTAACTCAAAACCTAGTATTTAACAAAATCTGTAAAATTGTAAAGCAACAGTCTCAGCTGTATTCATTTAAGGAATTCTCTATTAACACTATCAAAATAAAGAATACCATGGGTTTTACAACTCTGATACATAGTATTACGCAAGCCACAAGAGAGAGAAGAAACCATAATTCATAGCAAAGTCTGAGATCACTACCAACCAGTACTAGTATCACTAGTGGTTATAGGCCACACTTAGTTTTAACCTCTCAGTATAGCTGGCATCTATAAAACAGCCCCTCCCCTCCCCAAATGCAGATTTAATCACCGAATTATACTATTGCTGCATGCAGCAGAACTAATAAGAGCCTATTACAAATAGTTTATCAGAGACAGCAAAAGGTTAGATACAGAAGGATAAAGGCACCTAAAGGCATCCCCATTAACCAAGAAATACAAAAACAACAACTGGCAAATGCAGTTAAAGACAACTCCCTGGGATATGTCATTATGCAAGATGTACTGGATTTACAGAGGTGGGAATAAATGCTAAACACTAGAACATCTTACTCTGGAGTTTGTCCAAAAGTTTAGATCTGGAAGCTGTTCCTTTCCCTTCCCACTCTGCTTTTGCACGCAAGTCTTCTGCATGGCTACACATCAGATACCTGTTTAAAAAAGCGCACACACACCAACAGACCAAGTCTTTCTGGAATCATTCTTTTCACTTTTAAGCATGTTATCTATCATAACATTCTTAATGAACCGGAAAACAGGTGACTTAAGCTTGAGACTGATAGGAAAAAAGGCAGGGAACTATTCCACACAAACATGCATCTTCTTCAGAACAAACATCTATAAATCGCAATAGAAGAAGAAAACAAAACACAAACATGTTTTAGAGAAGGTGGAAATGTCTTATTTTAATCTAAGAACAAATTAGACTATATTCACCTACTTATTCAACTGCAAGATAACAGGCTAATAATTCTCAAGATCAGATGACCATACATACGTATGCATTAATTTGGGTTCTAGTACTACAAAAGTAAACCATAATTAGGTTGTTTTCATGCATCTGAAACAGAATACTGTCTACTGAATAGTCTTCTTTACTCACCATTTTAGCGTATCTCACTACAGCTTATTAATCAACAGGATAATAGCTTTAATACAGTTTGAGTTTTTACAATGTCAACTATCAAATGCTATAGAATTCCTTAGAAAATTCCACTGAAAGAGCTCTCAAAGTCCAAATACTTACCCACTGAGGACATGAATGCGTTCTGTATTATATTTCAGAGGCGTGAGTTCACAGCGTAGAACCTGAAGTGCCTCCAGGACCTTGCCATCCTCCAGGTATTCCAGGTACTTCTGCTGCAGCAGCAAAAACTTCATCCTCTGACATGACAGAAAGCAGCAGTCAGGGGAAAAAGGTTGACTGAAGTTTCAGAAAACGTTTGAGCCTAAACAGAACAGTAGAAACCATTCTACTATGCCCTTCAGAAATACAGCTATATGTAATGTTTCATTACTCAATTTCTTTTTGCTGAGTTTTCAACAACATTTGCGGCAATTAACTTATCCATGAATTTCCTTCCTGCCTTATGCAGCTCCAAGTACCTTCCTACCTCATTTCTCAGATTCCCCCCTTCAACTTGTCTGATTTTCATACTCACTCCCTTTTCAGTCACCACTCTTCAAATCCTGAATTACAGAGGCTTCCCAGTCTTACAATTTCATTAGGAATTAGCTGCCCAAAAGCAGCTAAGCACATATTTAAGACTGCATGACAGCACAGAACACAACAGGCCAACTCACCAAGTTCTCATAGTGCTTACACAGAGACTGACATGGATTGTTTGCACAGCTGCATAACATATAGCAGTAACAAACTGACACTGCCTGAGGTTTTGTTTTGTAGTTCCATGTTAAGTTATTTTCCAGAGGTGTTCTTTTCAGGATTACAGAAAAAAAAAAAGCAGTTTCCTATATTTAGAAATCACTTTACTTCTCAGAATTAATCACTGTTATTTCATAGTGTTCCTTTCATCTTGTACAGTTTTTGATTGTTTTCTTTTAAAAAAATAATTAAGCCTGCTATTCTAACAACAAATGTCTGTGGATAAAAAGAAAAATCAGGCATTCGTTTACCATATGCAAAAACCTGAAGTCCTAGAAATTTCTAATACCAATTTAGTAGAAACACAGTTTGGTTGTTTCTGGATTAAACCAACTATTCTGTGTTTGCTTATCCTCTTCACTGCTAGCAGTTATCAGAGAGAAAAGTCATTTCTGGTCCAGAAGACTCACCACATTAAAGAGGAAAATGTATGTTCTTAGACATATCGGTGAGAAACAGAATGAAGATTAAGTGCAGCAAATTACATTTGCTTTTCTAATGAGTAAACCACCAGTTTATTTTGCTTTGCCATACCTCAGGCATCTCACTATTTTCATGCTCATATTTGGTCAATGTTTACTCAGTTTCACACACACTCCTAGCCTTCTTAAGTAGAAGGACAATTGGGAATTTTAAGATGTTCCTGACCTACTAAAGCTAACATTAAAGTTTAAGGCTTATTATATGTAAAATCCAAAGTTAAAACATAAAGCAGTTTTAGCTTCCAGAGATGTTCAGTTCTTCAAAAGAAGCAAGTTTCCACATACAGTGATGTTAACTTACCCCATAGCTTTCTGAAGCATAAAGCATTACATAGTAAAGATGATTTATGTTCAAACATGTCTGTAGTACTCTATTGTCCTGTACACGACAAGCAAACCCATATTACATTCACTATCCAGCTCTTTAGTTTATTCGAGTTTGGAATTGTTAGAGCATCACTGTACAGTTCTTCCAGGAGAGAGAATATTTTTTGGTGTCCTGACACGTAGAAAACCAAAAGAAAGATATCCCAATTATTTACAACCTCAGTGGTTGGTTCCATGCAGTAGGTCAGCAGACTCCACGCTGTTTGCTTATACACTAGCAGCAGGAGGGATAAGAGTCTCCTCTCCCAGCTATGCATGTGCTCACAAGGATGCATGAGATGCTCAGGTAGTAGTCACATACCATATTTCACTCCTCTTGGTCACCTCACACTGATGATCATCACCAGTTTTAAAAAAAATAGTCTGATACTTCTAATCTGTAATAAAAACTATAATCCCTCCACCTCTTCCTTCTCCATTCACTGCATATAATATTTACTAAATTTACATAATCTTTCCCTTAAATGTGATAATCTTATCTGTATCTAATTACCCTTTCTCCCTCTCTACTTTTAGGATTTGGCATGTTAATTTTATTTCTTTAGGGAAAAAAGTAAAATGAGCAGAAAATCCTAAAAAAAACCAACATCAAACCGAAACAGTTTTTGTAACGCCAGTCACAACGATTGCACGAAAGCATTACAGGAACACTACCATGCAGAATGCTGTTGCCAGGTTACCCAAAGAGCTATAGCTTCAGTTTTGGGGTTAGAAAGTGTAATTTAAAAAAAAAAAGACAAAAAAGGTCATTACCGCCATGTGTGAATTTGGCGTATTAGGAATAAAAAAGCCTCCAGAACAACACAGTACTGTACACTTCATGCAAGAGTCTACTGTTAACATTTAGAATTAGAATAAAAGATAAGCAGTTTCAAATTGTAACGTATCTACAGCAAAAAGCAGGGACTAGAGTAAAGTGTTGACAGGGAAATTAAATTGATTTTCCAAGCTATTTTGGTAACTGCTCCAAAACTTGCCCTACAGCATACTCAAATAGTGGTACGAATACAGCCTCCTTAAGGCAAAAGTCACACTCCAGTGACATCATATTTCAAGTCATTTTTTGTATCAGGACACTCATGGCCTCCTACTACTCATTTTTGTACAACTATTAACTGTGCTGACAAACAGATTTCCCTGAACAACTGAATTTTATCTTTATTTTCTCTCAACTACTTATACGCCCTACTAATAGTACTGCTGACTACTTCCAATACCACCTTCTCATGGTAGACAAGACCATTTTGAGTACATCATCTCTTTTAGAGCCCAAACAACCTCTTCCAGAAGGAAAGAGAACTCTTTATAATATTGGCAACTGTAAAATAAAAGCGCAAACCCCGCTATTTTAAGTACAACAGAATGAGTATAAAACTAACCTGATGCAATGCACCCACAAGAATAGCTTACTCACTCTCCATATTTTTTAGCTGCCTTCCAAAGAAAGGAAATAAAAACTACTATATCCAAATTATACCATGTACAACGTAATAGAAGTGCTTTGGATTTGTTATCATCTCAGTGTTTGCAATGGAAATTCAACATCATTACACTCTTCACTGTTGAACAATTTAAATCCAGACACCACCATTGCTTAGCTTATAGCAAAGATTCTTCACCCTGCAGGACCCATGGAAAGTCCAATACAGCAGTTTCAGCACTGCTGTCTGGCTGGCTTTGTTCAGTTATCACTATCTCATCCTGTCTTTTAATTCTGTAGAGAGGATGAGGATAAAGTGCACTACTTTGTCTTAGTTTACCCCAGGGTGATCAGAGGTTCAACTTACACTTAAATAACAGCTTCTAGAAACAACAGAGTTAATAGATTTAGAGGATTTATTTGTTTGTTTTAATGTATGTACTATTAGCATTTTGCTTTCTTCAAACTACAGCCTTCGACTACTGACACGAATGTTTAGTACTTTATTCCTTCATTGTCCTAATTGTTAGCAGCAAAGTCCCTTGCAGAGTAAGTTTTGCATGCACTACGATTCACCAGCACTAAGAAACCAAAGGTGAAAGCCTCAGCAACACAACTGTGAAAATAATAGGACAAGCACCCAACCAGTCAAGAAATCAGGCCATTTTTATCACTGGTTACAGCATCAAATCTTCAGAAGCTGAAAGAGTAAAATGCCTAACAACCTAATTTTAGGTTTAGAGTTTGCTGTTATTTTTGACCTGCATATCTTAACAGGCTCCACCACAGTTTTATACTGTAGTAAAAGTTCAAAATAAATAAGCAAACACCGCTGAAACAACTCTTCTTTGAAATGAAGACAAATTAAAAGACAGGCTGAAATTATCAGCTGATGTTTCAAGACAAACTCAATGCAGTAGCTAACTGCTTACAGCCTGCAGAACTAAGACCCCAATTTTCATTACTTCGTAGTCTTTATTACTTTGATAGTCTTGTAAAACACTGATAAAAGCACTTAAAAAGCATCCAAAACTTAAATGTAAGATCTGATATGTAAAGAGCAGAAAATATTCTAGCCTATAGAATTTAACAAGGCTTCAACCACACCAAATCCTGTCACTTAAAGAGCAATTCATTCCAATAGGGAACTGCCCATATCGCTGGTAGCAAGAGGGACATCATACAGGCAGGTGGAGCACTTTGAGCAAACTGACAAGATATGTATCACTTTTTTTGTTGTACTGCCTGCTGCAGGCTGTATACCTCCAGAACTGAGGGAAAGCCTCATTTAAGTAAAAGAAAATAAAAAGCAAAGAGGGCAATTTGAAAGTATATTCTAGATGACTACAGACAAATAACCTCCAGATTTCTTCCTAGGTTCAATTAGTTACCCAAGATAGATGTCATAATATGTTTGAGTAGCCCTAAAGCAAACAAAACTTCAGGCTGGCTTGAAGCTGATACTTTCTAAGTGTTACTCAAAGAAAAATAACATGCTTGAATCAACTATAAAGTTTTCCTACAGATTGTCTCAAGACAGCTGTATCTTATATGCTGAAAAAGTAAACATGAATAATCACACACTACGTAGCACTCAGTTGTGTTGACACAAACAGAGATAGCAAACTGTCATCCCCCCTCCGCAACATATCAATGCACAGCATCAAAAGTTTACAAACGGAGATCGGCCACTTCATGTTTAGTGTTTTCACCTGTAGAACTTACAGCACTTTGCAGAAATAAGGAAATTAAAAGAGGAACAGAATTTTCAAAATACAGATGTATCCTCTTCACTGACCAAGCATTTCAAAAGCAGCTATGTATCCTGGTTATTTTGTCCAGGTCATATTAACTATAAGGAAAAAAACCCAACAAACTACAAAACAAAAACAAACCACCAACACCCACACACTTTGTTAAATACTCTGTGTCATCTAAACTTTTAGGTACCCATTCTTCTTGTACGCACACATTTTTGAAACATCTAGTCATACAGTATGAGTCACAAGTCAAGAGTCAGGAAACCCAAATTCTAATTGCCTGTTTTTGAAGAGTTACCTGCAGCAGCATCTTGTCTGGGCTTTCCCTAATCAAGACATTTATCATCTCCATTAGCTCTGGCTTTGTTGCAGTCGGGGATTAGCTACACAGCATTAAGCATCCCTCCTTACCTGTAATGATCTTTCACTAGTTTTCCAGGTGCTGACTACACTAATACCCACCCATCATCTCAACCCATCAACAAAAAAGCCAGTTGGGGATGGAGACAGGGCGCATGTGATGGAGCATGCACAAGCTCAACTTATCCTTGCAAATTAGCACTGTCTTACAAACACACACACGTAAGATATTTACTAGTGCTATCTGTTTTAAATTATATGAAGTTTTTATATAAAAAGGCAAACAACTTTAAAAAGAAAATAGTTAATATTTGGTCCAGGTAAAGTTCAGTCTAAACCAAGTATTTTTCATGCACCAAGTTTTATTCAAGCAGTTAGACATCAATATTTAAGAAGAGCATGCTTTCAGAGTCCTGAGCCCTCCAAAACAACAGAAGCGAAGTGTCCCCTTTTTCCTTAATTTAAGTTCTCCAGAAAGTACAATGCTGATACCCAGTTAAACCTCTTGACTCTCAGACATGTAAAACACTTTAATACTACAGAGAAACTTGGTAACTTTAGAAGTTAGAAACATGAAAAAATCTGCTTCAAATGACCATTCATATTCACAGACAGTGGTTTCACACTTTCAGTCTCCACAAACTATTGAAAGCTGCATGCAATATTCTACACGGTTTGAACAGTAAATCTTATGTATGTCAAGTCTTTGAGAGAAGAGAAAGTGAGCTACTAGCCTAATTAAGAGGTGCTAAGCTTTGACCAAGTTAATAGAACAGAATGTAAACTTCTCTCAAGTCCCCCCTGATGTTTTGTTAAACATCTGGTTTTCCTACTTCACTTCCTGTTCTCTCTTTCTCTCCCTCCCCCACCAGACAGGAAATTGTCTTGACAACAAATGAATCAGCTAGAAGTGGAGCTAAGCAGCCATCAGCTGATTCTTCATTGTTTACAGTCACAGACACTTCAAAAAGCCTTGCTACTGTTTTCTTCCTAAGTGACCATAGTTGTTATAACTTCATTTCGTTAAAATAAACGTTTAAACACAGCAGAACAAGCCACTTGAAGAGCTAAGTAATGATTTTCATCTCGAGATCGAAATATCAAACCAAGAAACACTTTCCTCAAAGTAACTGAAATCATAAGACCACATAGTGCAATTGTCAAGTCATGGGATCTACCAACCTTTTATTTCTAGATTCATCTTTAAAAAAAAAGAAAAAAGCCAGCCAGAGAGAAAAAGCTCTAAATAAAATCCCAAACAGCAATACAAATGCATTTGCTCTTTAGAAGCCATCTGGAAAAGCAACAGTATTGTTCACGGTCTATAGCAGCCTCTATATTCTTGTAATGTGCTATTACAATGTCAACTCCACATTAGTATTGCTGCATTTTATTTCTAAACTTCTCTTCCCTCAAGAAGACCTGACTCCCATAAATACAGAGATTGTGAGAAGTATTTCAAGTTTGAAATTAGTATTCAATATAGGCAGTTTCTACAGAAACTGACCTATTTTAAGACCGTTACAGGATTTATATTTTATCAGTTAAGTATGTTTAACAAAGTTTAAACATTCAGTACACCAAATGTTAGCCTCAATACTTTTGGACTTCCTATCTCACGTTCTAAAAAAGAATTTTAAAAGTTCAGATTAGTATGATGTTTGAGATAGCATGCAAGCTGCTTAAAGTAAACAAAAAAGTAAAGAACTACAGACAACCAACTCCATAGTGAAAGATTACACCACTACAATTAGTCCAACTATACAGCTCTGAAAGAGTTCAAGTGTGCCTCTTACCACAATTGCATGCGGAGAATGCACTAAGGCCTTAAGTTCATTCAGGTCGTTCTCAGCCTGCAGAAATCGGCATAAGAAAAAAAAAGTATATAAGGAAGGTGGATTTTGAATTCTCTCACAGATACTATAAACAGTGGTTAATACAGTCCTATAAGCCCTACGTTACCTTATCCCATTCTCCTTCCATGACATGATTGCGGAATTTGGTAGCAGAAGGATGTTCTAAACGACATCCTGACTCTTGCATGAGAAGATCAACAGTCTGGCTGCAGGAGAGATACAGTGTAAAAAAACCCGACCAGTTTTACCCTCACAAATATACCGCCTGCTATGATAACAGTTAACCATATTTAAAAGTGACTTTAATACAGTAAGAATACTATGACCAGATGCTTGTCCAAAAAAGACTATCTCAGTTGCCTGAGACATGTGAACAGCTACCTATATCTAAAGCAAGCTGTGAATGAGCTTGAAAGCTTCGCTGAAGTACCATAAAGTACGTGACTTACCAGCCACCACAAACAGCCATCCCTGCACAGAAGATAAGCTTCATGAAGGAAGATACAGACTAGAAAGCTGTTAGCTACTGGCTGCTATTCCCTGCCCCCCTCCCTCCCCACCCCATGAAAGAGTACAGAGAGCTACTACATCTGCAACAGGCCTAACTTTTTCTTTTTCACCATACATTAAAAGACTGGCTCCTTAAAATAAAATAAACAAACTCATGAACCTGTAGCCCTCCCCCTTTTACACTAAAAATAGCTTATTTACTGTGGTGTCATCTATGAACAGTCACGAGTTGTCTGCTGCTGTAAACTTGCCTCTTGTGTCAGAGGCAATTTATTTTATGTGCTAAGTTCTTTATAATTGGCCCATTCCACAGTGTTTTGAAGACTTCTTTTGTGGTAGTTACGTGAAGACTTTACAGGACTTCTCTAGCCTCCTTCCAAAATTATGACGTGTTGGCTTTAGCGTTACTCACAGGGTGTTGTGATTAAATTCATAGACTTCCCCTACTCCACTGGGAAATTATTTTCCCTACTCTGATTTTAAGAAAGAGCCAACACACTCATTTCTAGCCTACAGATAAGATTATTATCAAAACGATGTGTCCAGCACAAACCTGCAGAGGCCTTCACCATTTACAGGGTCAAAGGTTTCCAGAGTGAAACCCAACAGCCTATGTAACTGGCCGTCCAGTTTGTGCTTGCCTCCTCCGAGCTGACAAGCCAGATCTTGGAGCTCATCCGCAAAAAGCCGCCCCCCCACGCCCAGCTGCGGGCTCCATTATGTTTACCAGACAACCTCTCCCCCACTAACACATTTGTATTGATCTACCCTTATCGGTGTGCAACTCGACTTCCATATTGCCATCCCTGGCAGAGGCAGCTCCCCGCCTGTCCCTTCCCAGACACCACGCTGACCGGCACAGACTTGGAAAACACATCTCCGGCTCCGTTTTTTTGAGAGCAGGCCTGCCCCACTGCTCTGCCTCGCACCCAGGCACTGGTTTCTCCTCGCTGGCGACTACCAGGCTGCGACAGGGCAGTTTTTGCCACCAACCCCCTCTCCGGAGGTCCCTTCCTCTACCCCCTCCCCATCCTCCGCGGGGACCACCGGCCTCCTGCGATCCCGCGCCGGACCCTGCCGCCCCCTCCCCGTGGACGGAGAGGAGGACGGCGAGGCGTGTGTGCGCGGCCTCCCCCGGAGGCCCTTCAGTCAGGACGCCCCGGCCGGCGAGGGGAGGGAAGGAGCAC